GTCTGTGTATGTCCTTGGTCATGCCCTTTCTTGTTACTAGAATGCTATGCATCTCCTTTTACTCATGTCCAGAATGTACTCATTATTCAAGACATGATTTAAGTAACACTTTTTCTATAAACCCTATCATTAAAAAAAAAAAAAAAAAGGAAATTAAATACTCTGGTAAAATTTCCCAATCATTAACTCTCATATTTATTCTAAAATTCTTTATTCCCCTCATTCCTATGTTTCTTGGGTACACACAACCATGTTTAAATCCTCCACCTATTACAAACCTGTAGACATTAAATCTAGGCAATTTACTGTGACTAAAGTAAAAGCATTCATATTTTGAGTGCCTTCCAACCTGGGGGACTCATTTTCTAGCATTGTATCAGATCATGTTCTGCTGCTATTCGTAAGGTTTTCAGTGGCTAACAGATCAGAAGTGATCTGCCTCTCCTTCTTCATAGTTTGTCTTAGTCTGGATCCTCTGCTGAAAATTCTCCATCATAGGTGATTCTGTTGGTATTTAAAGTAGTGGTGGCATATAACTTCCAGCATCACAAGCTACCACAGAACAACAAACTGACAGATGAGTGATGGCACTCAAAATATGAGACTGATGAAGAGGTGCCTTCTCAAAGTAGAATTGACCATAATGACATGAATGGAGCAAAACTCAAGACTTTCATTAACTGATGAAGTACAAGTTAAAATGAGAAGAAACAGAAATGTCTATTAGTCATCAGAATTTGGAATGTACAAAATATGAATCTAGGATTGGAAGTTATCAAAAGTGATATGGAATGCTTAAAGATTGAAATCCCAGACATTAGTGTGCTGAAATGGACTGGTACTAGCCATTTTAAATCCAACAATCATATGGTTTACTATGCCAGGATGACAAATTGTTATAGTCACAAAACCTATCTTGTACATCAGGATGGTCTTGAAATCCTCAAAAACAATATTTCAAGGTCTATCTTGAAGTACAATGCTTTATGTGACAGGATAATATCCATATCCCTGCAAGGAATACCATTTGATACTAATATTATTCAAATTTATACTAACTACTAGAGTCAGTGATGAAGAATTCTACCAATTTCTTGAGTTAAATTGATCAAATATATAATCAAGATGTAGTTGTTTCAGGACTGATTGTGAGGGTTGGAAATGTAAAAAGGTAAATGTTTTGTAGCAAGGAAGGGAGTGATTAACTTTGCAGTTTAGGAGCAAAAGTCCCTGGGACTATCAACGGAGAGGAGCGAAGAGCAGGACCCTACCCAGAGAAGCAGTGACACCAGAGATGGAGGCAGAGATGATGGCATGGAAAGATGGAGCAGTTGGGGACTCTTGACCCAGAGAGGGAAAGGGGCTGTGTGCTGAGGACAAGGGGCAGGCTTGCAGGGCATACCCTTTGGTTGGTTGATGATGCATGGAGGGGATTGTAACCATGGCAATGAAATGATATATGATAGAATGAATGTAAAGCTAATGGCTAATGTTCTCCCATGTAAACTATCACATAATTCACAATAAAACATTTAAAAAAGAAAGAAAGAAAGAAAGATGTACTTGTAATTACTAGTGATTGGTATGTGAGTGTTGGAAACTTTCAGTAGTTGGAATATATGACCTTGGTGACAAATGATGCTGGAAATAGCATTTTAGGATTTTGCAAGACAATTACTCTTTAATTGCAAATATTTTTTTAGACAATATAAATGGAGTCCTGGTGTGGTGCTGCGAGTTTACGTGCTGGAATGCAAGATTGGTTTCAGTCTCAAGGTCTGCTGTTCAACCTCACCAGCTTTTCCTCAGAAACCCTATGCAGGGTCGCTATGAGTCAGAACTGACTCCATGACACTTAACAACACAATATCATTAGCCAAAACAAGACCAGACCCAGGGAAGACTGAAGAATAGATCCTCTATTGTGCAGATCTAAGTTAAGACTGAAGCTGAAGAAAATTAAAACAAGTCCATTAGAGACAAAATATAACTTCATATATGAGTATATCTCTCCTGAATTTAGAGATCATCCCAAGAACAGATGTGATGTATTAGGCACGAATTATCAAAGACCAGAAGAGTTGTGGGATGACATCAAGAACATCATACAGGAAAAAAGCTAAAAAAGTCAGTAAGAAGGCAGCAAAGAAAGTAAAGACCAAAATGTATGTCAGAAGAGAGGTGGAAACTTGCTCTTGATTGTAAAAAAAAAAAAAAAGCTAATGCAACAGAAATAAATGATGAAGCAAATATGCTGAATAGAAAATTTCAAAGGGCAGCTCGCAATGACAAAGTCAAATATTATAATGAAATGTAAAAAGATCTGGAGTTAGAAAACCAAAAGTAGGAATACACTCAGTATTTCTCAAGCTGAAAGAACTAAGGAAAAAATGCAAGTCTCAGGTTGTAATATTGAAACATTCTGTAAGTAAAATTTTAAGTCACAAGAAGCATCAAAAGAGGATGGAAGGAATACACAGTCACTGTAACAAAGAGAAGTGGTTGATATTCAACCATTTCAAGAGGTAGCATATGATCAAGAAGTGATGGTATTGAAAGAAGTCCACAAGGGAATGAACATGTTGAAGCAAAACAAGATTCAATAAATTGACAGAATATAAATGGAAACATTTCAGCAGATTGATGCAGAGGTGGAAGTGCTCCTAAGTCTATGCCATGATATTTGGAAGACAACTGATTGGAAGAAATTGATATCTATGCCAATTCCAAGGAAAGGTGACCCAATGGAATGTGTAAACCATTGAATAATATCATGAATATCACATACAAGTAAAATTTTAACTGAAGATAATTCAAAATCAGTTGCAGCAGTACATCTACAAAAGCTGCCATAAATTCAGGCAAAAATCAGAATAGAATGTGCAACTAAGGATATTATTGCTGGTATCAGATGGATCTTGGCTGGTAATGTCAAATCCCAGAAATATGTTTAATTATACAAAAGCATTCAACTGTGTGGATCATAACAGATTATGGATACCATTGGGAAGAATTCTAGAACACTTGATAGTACTCCTGAGGAACCAGTATACAGACTAAGAGACAGTTATTCAAACAGGACAAGAGGATACTGAATGGTTTAAAATCAGGAAAGGTGTCAGGTTTGTATCCTTTCACCATACTTATTCAGTCTGTATGCTTAGCAAATAATCTGAGAAACTGGATTATATGAAGAAGAATGTGGCATTGGAGGAAGACTCATTAACAACCTGCAACATGCAGGTAATACAGCCTTCATTGCTAGATGTAAAGAAGACTTGAAATACTTTCTGATGAAGCTCAAAGACCACAGAGTTCAGTATGGATTGCATCTCAATGTAAAGAAAATGAAAACCATGACCACTGGACCAATAAATAACATCATAATAAATGGAGCAAAACTTTGAAGTTGTCAAAGGCTTTGTTTTTCTTGGATTAATACTCAAAGCTCATGGAAACAGCAGTCAATACAGTGAATGATGTACTGCCTTAGGCAAATCTGCTACTTAAGACCTCTTTAAAGTGTTACTTAGGTGCTTTAAAGAAAAAGGTTGTCACTTTGAAGATTAAGGTGTACCTGACTAAAACCATAGTATTTTCAATTACCTCATATGCATGTGAAAGTTGGACAATGAATAAGGAAGACCTTAGAAGAATTGATGCATTTAAATTATTATATTGTTTGCAAAGAATATTGAAAGTACTATGGACTGCCAGAAGAACAAAGAAATCTATTGTGGAAGAAGTGTAGCCAGAGTGCTTCTTAGAAGTAAGCCTGGGGAGACTTTGTCTCATGTTCTTGTGGACGTGTTGTCAGGGACTGATTGTTAGAGAAGGGCATCATGCTTGGTAAAATTGAGATCAGTAAAAGAGAGGAAGACCCCCAATGAGGTGGACACTGCAATTAGGTGGTACAAAAGGGGTTGGTGCCAGTCACCCAGTGTGCGGAGCTGCAAGTGTGGCTGGGTATGTGGCTGTAACTGCTGAATGTCTTGCCAGGTGTTTGTTATATGCTGTCAAGTCAGTTCTGAATGAAAGCAACCCTGCAGAGGGCTTCTGAGGCTTAAAATCTTTACAGGCACAGAAAACCTCATCTTTCTCCAGCAGAGCAGCTGATAAATTCAACCATGTGGTTAGGAGCCCAACTTACAGGATTAAAAAAAGAAAGAAAAATGCAATAACAAACAATAACAACATTTTTTTAAAATAGGGGAAAACAATGAAAAGAGAAAAAATGAGAGGAAAAAAAAAGAGAAAGAAAAAGAGAAGAGGAAAAAGAATAAAGAAAAAAAAACCTAAAATGAAGGAAGGTAAACATTTTTTAAAAAAGAAAAAAGCTTCCAGCTGAGGAGGTGCTTATTGGTAGGTACCTTCTGTTGGTTGAAGAGGAGTAGAGAGTGGGACCCCTTGTTTAAGATGACATTACTGCTGACCATGACATGATGCCATGGAATGCAGGACACCCAGTGCAGGACAGCACACTCTACAGGAGGTAGAAGCAGCCCAGGAGGAAGGGAAGTGGATGTCCAAGATGGCACTTCTGCCAGCTGGTAGGGGTGAGATGACCAGTTTATTCTATCCCGTTGGTTTGTTGTGAAGATTTAATGTCATTTTTTGTTGTTAAGTGCCACTGAGTGGGTTCTGATTTATAGCAACCTTGTACAGGGTTTCTGAAGAGCAATTGCTGACTTTGAATTGATGACTTTGAGGTTCAAATTGACCTTGAGGTCGAGTGCTTATCCTATAGCACCACACCAGGACTCCATTAAATATGATACATCTATTAAATGATTAAAACAAAGCTCATCAAGAAATAAGTGCTACATAAATATTAATTGTCTTCCTTTTGTTTTGCCCCAGTAGTTCACTTCTGTTTTTAATAGGTCATCTTTTCCTCTGCATTGTTTTGTAGGACATATTCTGGATGGATGGCTGTTGGAAATTCATTGTCATAGCCAGCTCTTCTTCAACTCTGAAAGGATTTACCGTGGAATTGAGTAATGAGAATTTCGGTGAGAAAAAATTAGATTAAGAAATCATAGGGACTTCTCTTTAAAGGTCACTTCAATCTCAAATACTTTATAATATAATTAGTATATTAATAATAGCCTTACAGCTATATGGTTATTCTCTAAAGATATGGGATGTCGTCAACATTTGCTCATCTACTAATTGTGCTTACTTTGAAAAATAAAAAAAAAAATTGATTTTTAAACTCTCTTACAACCTTGCTATACTTTTCATGACATTGTAAATACCTTATTTTATATTCCACTCTGTTTTATTCTTTTAAAAAAAGTCCATCTGCTCAGTAAATTGTGTAGTCTTTGAGGGCAAGTGCTGTCTATTATTCACTCCTCACTATAGACTAAATGAAGTATAGACTCTTAGTGGTTAAGGTAGTAGTCATTGCTCCTCTCTGAAATTATAAATGGCTCTGCAAAGGTTTTGGCAATGTGAAAGAGACAAACAAAGAAATAATAAATCTCTGGAAAATTCTAAGATAAGACTTTTCCTAAATCATCAAAAAAAAAAAAAATATATATATATATATATAGTGGCTTTAAGTATTGATAGTTGGTTTCATTTCTGTAAGTTGTTCATCAAGTTATATTAATGTATCATTGTTTTGCATATGGTTACATGAAATTAGTATATTAATAATAAACCTGTATTGGTATTACATATTTTTTTTATCTGTGTTTTATGAAATTTGTTGTTGCTATTGTTTAGTGTTATTGAGCGATTTTGACTCATAGCAACCATGTATAGCTTTTTCTAGGACTGGTTGGTGGGTTTGAACTTCTTACCTTACTGTTAGCAGTCTAGTGCTTTTCCTACAGTGCCAAGCCAGGATTTTATTAACCAATCCTAAGAGCAAAGAATCAAGAGGAGGTCAAGGATAATAGAAAAATTAGGTGGTGACAGTCTGTATATAAATGAGGAAATATTTAAACTCTGTTAAAACTATTGCCATTAAAGTGTAACTACAGAAATGATGATTTAAGAATTTTTCACATAGAAGGAAAAGTGCAAAAGATAAATTTTTGTTTCATCAATTCTGACTAGGAATGTTGATTCTGAAATTATGATAAATGTGTATCTTTTAGACATAGAAATAAAATGTTATTTTAGCATCTCACTTTTTCACTAAAAGACTTCTAACTATTTTGTCTTTGATCATATTTTTCAGAAACCATATTTGAGAAGTACCTCCATCCAGTGTTATTTGTGTTTACTTTTAAACAGTCATTTTTTAACTGAGGCTGGCATTCATGTCTTCATTTTGGGGTAATTTCAATTTAGGCATAAATATCATTATGTTAGTACCTATATGCATTGTCCCCTTAAAATATCATTTCTATTTGCTTGGTTTATTTAAATAAATTCTGTCTTTGGGGTATGATAGTGGGCACATATGGAGAATGAGAGATTTGGTCAATATTCAACTTAGCATAAATCCTTCCTAAGACAAATTTCTTTGGGAAAAATTACAAATGAGCATTATACACCCAAATAAATCGGACATCTTAGTTTATTGTTCATCTTGGCAGTACATTCTTTCTTTTGATATCTACATACATTTCACAGCAGCAAAAGTATATATTTACAATGTGCCCATGTTCCTTTATTTATCCATCCCTGGCATTGACAATTCATATCCTGTGAGCCTCTATCTTAGTTCTGTTTAAACATTTCTTTCTCTTACGTTCAGCTTTTGCTTTCCCTCCAATGTTTATATTTTTCCCTGCTTATATACTTTTGTCATAGATGCACTCAGTTGACTCCAGGCACTCAACCTATATTGTGTAGTCTGCCTCCCAGTTCAGTTTTACTTGACTAATGTCTTCGTGGTATGGGGAACCTTAGATTTGTGCACATAAATCATCCTAAAACAAATTGGTGTTGGTTACCATGGTACTGTATAAGATACTTCAGAGATTGACTCTTTTTCCTGAATTTCTAAAAATTATTCCAAAATTTTTATCAGTGTATATGTATTTGTTCATATACTAAATTTAGGTTTTACTAAAATGAGTCAGAATATGACCCTTCAGCCTTGATTGAGCTGAAGCCTATGATGTTTATGAAGAAAGGATCTACAATCAAAATGACAGTGTGAGCTGTATACAGCGTCATATTCAATTTACTGTAAGAAACAATTATTGTCACAATCATTACATGAAGATGATCAGTGCTCATTTTGAGAATCTTAGTTTATTCTACTTGGAAAAAAATTAATTCAGTCAGAAAACATTTATTGAGTATTTCCAACATACCAGGCACTATTTCTATTTCACTGTAACAAATTCCACTAGGTTATTTATAAATTATTCCTTCAATTACATTGATTTCTAATCTAGATTAATGTTTCCTCAAGGTTGTACTTCCTGTTTGATGTCCACATTCTTCTACATGGCACAAACATAGGGGTAACAATGATCTTTTCACCAGTCAAAACAACAACAAAACCTTGGTTACGTTTTTGCCTATCGTATTCATCGAGATGTTCAAAATGCTTTATTTTTTGGTTTTGCTTTCAGATGCTTTAGTGCAACTCTCCCTAAAACAGAGGCTTATTGGGAGGATGTAATGCTTGATTTGCACCAAATTGAAAATCTTATTCAAGTAAGTACCTATTCGTCCATAAAAACATCTTATGTAATTGCTATAGAGTATTCCTCTTCCTATGTTTTTTCTCTCAGTCTTAATGAAATATCACTGAAAACAATATTTTTGTAGAAATTCATGAGCCTTGAAGGCTTTTGTTTACAATGTTCATTTTCTATTTTTCTTTAAAAACTTAATCTACAAGTATCCCAGCCCAGTGAAGAGTTCTCTGTCTTTGAAGGCCACAGACTGCCCTCCCTTACCTAGAGAAATAAGGTGGTGTGGTGATGCCTGAAAGGAGAATCCCACCACACACAAGTGACATGACCCAGAGAAGTGCTCTCTATCCTGCAGGCCGGAGATTCTTTTCTCTGCCTAGATACATGAAGCGTCCATGTAAAATCAACAAGGGAGATTGAATGGAGACCCACTGACATTAGTGAACTTTGTCTGTGAAGGTCAAGGTTCTCTGTTTTCTACCTACATAAACCAAGTTTCTACCTAAAGAAACCTGCCTGGGGAAGTTCTTTCTGCCTCCATAGACAACATCAGTAGGGAGTAATGGAAGACCTAATGGCACCAGAGAAACAAACTATATGACAATAGCATGACAACCATTCTGAAAAGTAATCTGTCATTAGAATCAGAACACAAGGTAGATCAGTACCTTCATGATAAACCTAAGCAGAATTGTTGTTGTTAAGTGCTATCGAGTAAGTTTCTACTCATAGTGATTCTATAAAGGGTTTCTAAAGAATGGCTGATGGGTTTGAGCCACTAAACTTGTGATTAACAATCTAGTGCTTATTTTATAGCACCAAAACTCCCAAACAAGATTGTGGTGGTTACGTGCCGTGGAGTCAGTCCCAACTCATAGCGACCCTGCACAGGGTTTCCAATGCTGTAAATCTTTACGAAATCCTCATCTTTCTCGAGTGGAACAGCTGCTAGTTTCAAACTGTTGACCTTAAGATTCACAGCCCAATTCATAACCATTACACTCGTTCTCAAATAAGATTAAGAAATGCTAAAATAAAAGGTCTTAATAGAACCGGAATTTCCTAACATACCTGCAATACCCACTATAAAACTGAAAATCATGCCAAGAAGTAGGAAAATGACACCCTGAATAACTAATTAGCAGAGTCCAAAACATAGATGGAATTATATGACAAAATTATAAAGTAGTTGCCATAAAAAGTGCTGTTAAGTCGGTTCTGATTCATAACGACCCTGTATAGCATTTCCGAGGAGCAGCTGGTGAATTTGAACTGCCAACCCTGTGGTTCAGAGTCCAGTGCTTATCCTGTACCATCACACTGGGAGTCAGAACTAAAATAGCACAATAGCAGAAATACAAAACTCACTGGAGAAGCCTGATAGACCAATGGTAGGCAATGAACTTGATAATCGAACCTAGATAGAAACAGAGTTGGGGACAAAAGGTGGATTTGTGGGACAATAACAGAAAATCCAATTATATATGTCATCAGTGTTCCATAAGGAAAGAAGAAAGAGAGTGGGGATTAAAAGTCCTTGTGTGGCACTATGGGTTAATGCGTTAGACAGCAAAATTGGTTTGAATTGCAAGGTCGATGGTTCAAATTTACCAGCTGCTCCTAGGAAACAGTATAAAGGGTTGCTATGGGTCAGAACTGGACAGTGAATAAGGAGGATCGTAGAAGAATTGATGCCTTTGAGTTGTGGTGTTGGAGGAGAATACTGAAAGTGCCATGGACTGCCAAAAGAACCAATAGATCTGTTTTGGAAGAAGTGCAGCCAGAGTGCTCCTTGGAGGCCAGGATGGCTAAGCTTCGTCTCTCCTACTTTGGACATATTGTCCGGAGGAAACAATCGTTGGAGAAGGATGTCATGCTGGGTAGGGTGGAAGGTCAGAGAAAAAGAGGAAGACCCCCAATGAGATGGATCAGCCAGGTGGCATCATTGATGGACTCAAGTGTGGCAGCGGTAGTGAGGTTGGCCCAGGATCGGACATTGTTTCGTTCTGCTGTGCGTGGGGTTGCTATGAGTCGGTTCCGACTCGATGGCACCTGACAACAACAACAACAACATGGGTCAGAACTGACTTAAAGGCACTTTACAACAACAACATTTCTCCAGATATAGTGAAAGACATACATCTACAGATTCAAGAAGCAGAGTGAATCTCAAACAGGAAAAAAAAAACATAGTCAATTTATACCAAAACACATGATAGTTATGCTCCTAAAAACTGAAGACAAAGAAAAATTATATCTTATCTACAGGGAAAATAATCTGAATGACAGCACATCTTTCCTTAGAAACCATGGAAGTTAGAAGGAAGCTAGAAATATTTTTCAAGGGCTGAAAGGCACTTTTAGCCCAGAATTCTACATCCAGTTAAATTATCCTTCAGTAATGAAGAGGAAATCAAGATATTCTCAGGTGAAGGTATACTAAGAGAATGTGTTGCCAGTGACAACAATTATGTCTTAAAGAAGTTTCTCTAAATAGAATAAAAATTATGGAAGAAGAAACCTTAGAACATCAATAAGGAAGAAAGAACAATAGACGGAGAGAAAATATGGACTTTTCTTTGCTGCTTGGGTTTTCTAAATTATGTGTGAGAGTTGAAGTTACAATTTTAACAATAGGAGTCCTAGTGGATTGTGAGTTGAGCTGTTAACCATAAGGTCAGCAGTTGCTTGGGACCAGAAGTCTCAAGGTCGTCATTCCTTGGGAGAAAAATGTGTCTCTCTGTATTTTTTATTACAATTGCATTTTAATATAACATTATCTCTAAATAAGTGCTTCATTAAAAAATTAATTTAATGTGTTCAGTAAGTTGGTTTCGTTATACCTAAAGTAGGGCATAATATTTCATATTGTTTGATTTTGTTTTCTTTCAGTCTATCCATATTGATGCCACTTTATATACTGAAAGTGATGCTCATGTGAGTACAGTTTAATTTTTTCAAAGTTGCTCTATTTTCTAGTTTACAAAAGTCTAAAAATTGTACTTCCACAAGTTAGTTGAAACAGGTAGTCTTTAAATCTAACTTTAAATCAAACCAAAAAGATGGTCAATGAATTTTATAAGTAATTGGTGATGTGGTAATAGAATTTGGGGGCAAAGAAATATTTGGTTATAGTCCAAAATAAAAACATTAAAAAGCTTTTCTAGTCAATGTAAAAAAAAAAAGTATTTTGTGTTGGAATTAGAACATCATGCAAATTAGATGCAAGGATCAGTTAATGAATTCAGTTTTAAAGTTTCCAACGTATCACTCATTTTCATTGTAGTATATTACCATCTCAAATCGTATTTCTACAAATTGCATAAACACTTTTATTTTCCACATTTTTCATTAATCTGCATTTGTCAGAAAGAGCTCTGACTGGTTATATTTTGTGCGAGAAAAGAAATAAATACAAATCCTAAAATTTATCATAATTCAAAATTGATCTTAGACATTTTCATTATTTGAGAAGGCTTCAAAAAATTCATGGAAAATGGAATGAAAATAATGGAATTTTTCCATGAACTTTTTGAAGCCCCTCATCTGTTGACATTTCCTAAAGCATACATGATTTCAGTCATGTTGTTAATCCTTGCTCTCTGGATTGGTTACTAAAGAACAAGAAACTAATCCCCACCTTCCTTACATTATGGAAAACAAACACTATGTATATGTTAAAACAGTGAGAAAACAGTTCTTCTCTTATTCCTGAATTAGAACTTCTCTGAAACATAAGATATTGCCCCCCACCAAGACTTTCTAAGCATTGACAATCAGCGATAACTGGACACTGGAAAAAGTATACTTATCAACTACATAGATAGTGCTATTGCTTATAAAGATTGTCTTCTTCCTCTACCTTCAATATCTTTCCCATTTTTCCTTGCATTTGCTCAGTGTAGAAAGCAGTTAACCACCAACACTTCACATTCTGAGACTACTCTTTTACAAGAAGGTAACCTTACATCTCATGGGTTGTACATCTCTGAGATTGAAATTCAAATTTGTATTGACTCAGTCACTTTCTAGCTTGAAAGTCACTAAACAGTTCTGAACCTCAATTTCCCTACTTTTTAGCATAGTCACAGCATTTACCCATTCTATCCTGTGCAGCTGCTATGAGGGATGAGGGGCACTGCTACCCATTCAGTGCACATTTATGAAGTGCCTGTAGTCTCCCAGGTACTGTGTATTGAGAACACAAAGTCAGATAAGCCATGGTGAAATCTCCAGAGCTTCATTGAACGTCTCTTTTTCCTTTTAAGTTTAGAAGGTTATAGTTAAAGTAACTCTGGTGAGAAATATATTTCTCTGGTGCCTAAGAGGTCCTTTTCAAAACTATCCACTCTGTGAGTAGACAATAATCTTACTTTAAACTAATGAATTTATTAGAATAACTTCTGGAATTTTGAATCTTGTAGGAATAGCATGATTAGCAACTACCAATCTTTAAAATTCTTACATACATACTATCAATGTCAATGCTTCAAGAGTCTAGGGCCAACATGATAACCTTTATAACAAGGAGAAATGTGCTCACTGCAGTAAGTGCCCTATTATTTCCAGGTTTTCAAATGTAATATTCTTTTTTACAATATTGCTGTGTTTCTTGATTGTATTTTGTTTGGTTAGTTTGGTTTTGGTTTCAAAGCCACAAAGTGGGGGGAAAGATCAAGCAGCTTCCTGTGTAGAATTTCTTAAAGGTATTTTGGTTTTTTGTAATAAATTTGGATTAGCTTTTAAATAAATCAAAATTACATCCACGTGAAAATGAATAATCAGAATATAAGGTTTTCAAAATGGTTCTTTGTAACTCTATTTTCAGCCTAATTGCAAAGTAACAGCAATGAAGTGTTTTCTTATGGAGTTCGATGTTATTTCACATGAATCCAAGAATGGGAACATCAGTGAAACAGTAAAGAACCTTGTCTTCCTAGCAAACAGCAGTTTATATTCTAATAGGGTGAGTTACCTGATACTCATGCTGAAGTACAGCTAATATTTTGGGCTTGAATGGGAAAATCATTAACTAGGAGAGAAGAAGGCATTCTGTTTCAATGGAGTGACATCCAAAAATGACACCATCTCTGGCATGCAATCCTAAACTGTTAATTGACTTTTTTTATTCAGCAAATATGTATTGAATAGTTCTAGGCACTACACTGTTGCTGACCTCAACATATTTATGATCAGGTGGAATGGATCCAGATCATTGTAAATGCATAAAGTATAGAACTATAGCATAAATAAGAGAACTCACATTTATTATGGTATTAATATGTGCCAGACACTATTCTTTGAACTTTAAATTAATTCCTTTGATCCTTACAACTCTGTAAAGTAGGTATCCTTGTATCTATTTGAGGGTTAAAGAAGGGATAGTCCCAAGAGCTTAAACAATTTCCTGTGGTCATGCAGCTAGTTATGAAGAGTGAGGATTCATACCCAAGCAGTCTCAGTCTAGAGCCTGTATTCTTATTTAACGAAAGGATAAAGGATACAAAAAGGTAATAATAAAGGTATTAATGAGTTGAATTCTTATATGCCAATGATCATGAACAGTGTATGGTTCTAGGAGAGCAAATATTAAGTATTCTCATGGTAGGCTGGGGGATCAGTTGTGCACATGTCCTATGGTACGAAGGCCTATAGTTTTCATGGCCAAGGAAACAGGAAGATTTATAAACTCAACCTTTTATAAACAAAGCAGGCATAATAAAGCTAATAATTTTAGCAATATTTTTGGGCCATAGCAGTTAAAAAACACACATAGTATCTGCTGTTATGGAGAGAAGAAACATAAGCAAATGTATAAGTCAACTTTTTATTAAAACCAATAGAGAAAAATATGGTGGGGTTCTGATTCTTGTTTACATTGGATTGTCAGTAAGTTTAGCAAATTAGATAACAGTTGGCAAAGACGCAAGTGAGTGAGATTACTCAAACCTAGAGAAGTATATTCAAGCAGAGGTAACTGAAAATTCTAAAAGCCTTGAGTTAATTTGACTTTTCTCTTAAAATTCCAGTTACTTATCATCTTTGCTCAAGTCTTACCTTATCAGTTATGTCATCTGTTTACAGTTGCAATTGCATCCCTATCATAAGCATTCTCTGCCCTCTAGGTCTTAACTCTCCCATGCCATGCCCTACGATCCGATTGGTTATACTGCATATTTAAATTACTCATTGGGTCTGCTCTGACTTTCACTGCTAGAATATCAACTTCAACATTTTTGTCTATTTTTTCCAGCATTGTATCCCAACTCCAAAACAGTGCTTGGCATAGACTAGACACTCAATGCATTTATTGCTGCTGTTGTTGTTAACTGTCGTCAAGTCTGTTCTGACTCACAGTGACCCTGTATAGGGTTTCAACCGCCAACCTTGCAGTTCAAATTGACCTTGCAGTCCAGCGCATTAACCTATGGCGTCACATCATTAAGCAATACATTAATGTTTAAAATCTTTCTCAGGCTATATCTCCACCTTATCACTGGAAAGACTGAGTCATGCAATAAATAACTCATGAAAATAGCAATGATCAACTCTGTCATGCTCCTTCTCAGTCACCCTCATCAGAATATAGCATACGGTGCATGACAGAATGAATGGCAGGACTACACAGTCAGAAGACTTGGCAGTAAAGATTTCAGTTGTTTATTTAACATTAGATGAGTCATTGAACATCTCTGCATTCCTATCTGGCATGATTATATTAAGAATCCAATAAGAGAGCATTATATGAAAAATGTAGCAGTGCCTGACATGGAATCAATGCTTGATGAACATTGGTGAACCTAAATTCCACATGTTCTTGGATGTAAAATCTAATTTTGAATTTTACTGGTACAGCTTTCACCGTTTAGTTGTCTCTAAGAAGGTTCATTTAAGATTGACACATGGGAACCCAGGTGAAGACCTGGTTGGCCAGCAGTGTGGCAAGACCTGGGGACTCTTGGGCCCAGAGTCAGTGACATAGCCACAGAGGACTAGAGCGGAGAGTGAAGTGTCCAGCTGATAAGAAGAGAGGGCATATGCATAGAACACCCACACTTGCAGATAATACCCACTTGTCCTGGCTTCAATGACTGGATGATCAGAGCTCAACCAGAAGTAAAAAGAAGAGGGGGAAAAAAAAAGTATTCTCATACAATTTGATGAACTTGACCTACACCTATGGAAGCAGTAACTCAAAAGAAGGAACAAGTCCTAACAGCAAGAATCATTCCCACACCCTCCACACACAGAGTAGACAGGGATGGGCAACTTGGACATTGGCTACCCAACTTGGGGGGTGGAGGGCTACAAAGGCAAGAAGTGACTGGCTTACAAGCTTTCAAGAGGGAACCTAGATCCAGAGGGCCTGAAGGAAGGTAGAGTCTCCAGTGAGTAGTATTCAATCTGACTAGCCGGGGCTGATGCAATGAAATGCAGATGGGTCTCTTGTAATACAACAGTGAATAATTGTTATCAGGACTGATTTTGAGGGTTGGAAATGTAAAGGTAGATGTTTTATAGCAAGGAGGGGAGTGATTAACTTTTCAGTCTCGGAGCAGAGGTCCCTAGGACCATCAAGGGAGAAGAGCAGAGAGTGGGACCCTACCCAGAGAAGCAGTGATGCCTGAAATGAAGCCAGAGATGATGACGTGGAGCAATGGAGCAACTGGAGACTTTAGATCCAGAGATGGAGAGCGACTGTGTGCTGAAGACCTGGGGGGTACGGGGGAAGGATTGCATGGAGGGGATTATAACCATGGCAATGAGACCATATATGATAGAATGAATGTAAAACCAATGTTCTCCCATGTAAACTATCACATAATTCACAATAAAACATTAAAAAAAAAAAAAAAAAGATTGACACATGGCACTGTGAGGTAAAGCACTGGACCACAAGACCATTTTGAACTATAAGGTTGGCAGTTCAAATTCCTTGGATACCCTATACAAAGTTGCTATGAGTGGGAACTGATGCGACAGCACTTGACAACAGCAGTTATCTTTGAAACTATGTTTTACAATAATTTGTGGTATTCACCTGAAGAATTCAATATAACCAGTAATGATTGGGTGATTTCAATGTGCCAGAAACTATGCTAAATGCTTGTTATTATTGTTAAATGTAAAATGTTGTTAAATGTCATCAAGACAGTTCTGACTCAGCAACCCTGTATAGAGTTTCCAAGGATTTGAACTGCTGACCTTGTGGTTCTAAGTCCAGGGTTGATCCTACATTACCACACCAGCAGTCCATGCTACATGCTAGAAAAACAGAAAATATATGCCCTTGCCCACCTGGAGGAACTTAGAGAATTGTTGTTGTTGTTGTTATGTGCCATGGAGTTGGTTCCTACTCATAGCAACCCTGTACAGGGTTTCCAAGGCTGTAAATCTTTACAGGAGCAGAAAGCCTCATCTGTCTCCCGCGGAACAGCTGGTAGTTTCGAACTGCTGATTCATAACCACTATGCTACCAGAGCTTAGAGAATAGTGGTATAAAAATCAAGTTATCAAGTTGTTGTTGCTAACTGCCTTCAGTTTGGTTACAACTCACATCCATCCTGTATATGGTTTCTGAGGAGCAGCTGGTGAGTTTGAACTGCCAGTCTTGAAGTTCAAACCAAATTTGCAGTTCAAACTGACCTTGTGGTCCAATACTTATGTGATGGTGCCACATTAGAACTCCAAAAGCATAAAACCCTATGTTGTTGTTGTTAAGTGCCATTGAGTTGGTTAGGACTCATAGCAACCCTGTATAGGGTTTCCAAGGAGTGGCTGGTGAACTTGAACTGCCTACTTTGCGGTTCAAACCAACCTTGCAGTCAAGCGCATTAACCCACAGTACCACACCAGGCCACCAAAACCCTATAATACATGTTAGTATAATATCTGATATGCTGTGATCCAGGTCTAAACAAAGAGCACTGAGAATGCAGACTGTAGACTTGCCTCTGACCTGGGGTGCTCTTAGGAGACTATACATAAATAATCATAGGTGTGAGTAGCAGTAGCTACAATAGGAAGTGTGTAGCACACAAAGAGAAATGCAAAGGCGTAGATGCATGTAATAGCAGAATGTGTGATGGAAAGGAAAAGCATGAGCTCAGAATTTCTACACCATAATGTTTGCAGCAGTGGGGAAAGGTAGGAGAGATGGGTAAGAACAGCTTATGTAGGACCTGTGTACCATGCAGGGAAGCATGAATTTATCCAAGGCTTTATTGTTGGTGGTGTTAAGTGCCGTCTAGTTGATGCCTACTCATAGCAACCCTTGTTAAATGCCATTGTCTCGATTCCGATCCATAACGACCCTGTATAGGGTTTCCAAGGAGCAACTGGTGAGCTCGAACCACCAACCTTGCAGTTCAGATGAGGAGAAATCATTCAAGGGAAAGTTCATGGTCTGATGAACATGGCTTATTTATTTATTTACTTATTTAGAAAGAAGACATCTTTATTTTTCAGATCAAAAAGCAAAACCAAACCCATATTTCATGAAAGCTTAACATCGCAAGAAAAGGCTTATTCATTTAAAGTTCAAGTTTTGCATTGTCTTTGATTTGTAGGACCCACTCTCAATGATCTTTCCAGAATAATTGGCTCAAATCCACCTTGTACCACGTGATGTTCATGCAGCACAGCGGTGACCCTAGTGAATAGGGATGCTTGTTGTCAGCTAGCAGTGCCTTCCAGTTGGAGACAATCAATTCTAGTTTTGTTGATGCTCATATATTTTCTAGTCTCCATTAGCCTTGCCTAGACACCATATTGGGTGAAAGAGAATTTTAGCTCTCCTTTCCTTTCTTCTTGAGGTGACAATGATTGGATACCACACCCATCTTCAGGGCCAGTGGACCTTTTTTTGTAGCATTGATTCATCACTAAGACTAAGAATCACCTGTTGAAGAAGTTCTTGAGTTAGAAATGACGCTATGATATAATGTGGAAGAAGATTAAAGCTGGTGAAGGGCTGTTTTATATAAACAAAGGGTTGGATACACATCTTGAACTTCATGTCATTTTGTCTTGTTAATTATTTGTTCTTTTAGTCAGTGTTCCGTATCAAATATCTCAGTTTTCTTTTCCCATTGTGCTTCTTAATATGGTATTGATTTGTCAGTTCTTATGTCTCAAGACCTGGCCATGTGGTCCAGATGTTATGATATTTCCAGGAACTACATAAATTAGACTATCTAATCCTTTCTTTTTATTTGGCAGTATATAACAGAATCTGGATGCAAAGAATGTGAGGAACTGGAAGAAAAGAATATTAAAGAATTTTTACAGAGTTTTCGACACCTTGTGCAAATGTTCTACAACACTTCTTGATTGCAGTTGATCACCTTCAGCATTTTCTATTATTAACAGGCATTTTCCCACTGTGTAGAGACAACCAAACACTCCACATTTCAATGTACTGCCCAAACAACTGCTGTTCTAGCAAGATTATCACGATGCTGGATCTGATGAGTTCTTTGGAAAGAAGGCAGAAAAATGTCACTGAATAATATAATAAAAAATAGTTGCAATTGAGTTGATTATGAACTTATGGTGACCCTATGTGTGAAAAGTCTGTAGAGTGTTCAATGGCTGAATCTTATTTTTTTTTTTTTTAAGGAGGTCCTCAGGTCTTTCTTCTACAACACCTTTGAGAGGACATAAACCTCTAGGATTTTGTTTAACAGCCAAGTGCAATAATCATTTGCACCATCTAGTCACTCCATTAAGTAACATAGAGAGATATGAAGTGTCCTCAAACTTTTTCTTGTTTTGTTATTTTTAATTTATTACTTAAAGTGTACATATTTTAGTGTATTTTAAATGTTGAATAAAATTATGTGTGTATTTTAACATTTGAAATTGCGCTGATGTTTTACTTTTTACAAGAAATAAGAGACATTTGTTCAGGAGTGAGAATCAAAATATTTGACAGTTGCTTAACAATAACTGGTTATGAGTGGTGGGAGAAAGATGTGGCAGTCTGCTTCTGCAAATATTTACAGCCTTGGGAACCTGTAGGGCAAATCTATTCAGTCCTACAGGTGGGTGTGAGTCAGAATTGACTTGATGGCAACAGGTTTAGTTTAGTTATAATGAGTTCAAGCAGCTTTGTTGGTATGATCCTGCCAGTGAGTAACCACTGACTACCAACCCTCTTTTACTATCCCATTAGCTTTTATTATCCCACCAAAGAAAGAATTGACTATCAAGGAGAAAAGGAAGACGATGTCTGAATTCTGTGCTTTATTCCATAATTTAGCTATTGAATATATAAAGCAGTTAGGAAGGAAATACCAAAACTGCAAATACCTGATACATAATGTACATCAGTAAATTTGGATAGTGGAGGAATCAGCCTTCACAGACAGGTGCAATTGTGTGCAGAAGCAGCAAACTAATCGTTGCAATGATATTTATATTTTGTGCTTCCTCTAGTGTAGGTATATAATTCTTTCCATTATTTTGCCATATGTATAGAATAAAGAAGCAGCTGATTTGTTGAAGTCACCATTACATGATAGAAAATAATTTTTTATAATGCTTTGTTATAATTTTGTCTAAAATTACCAAGTCCTTTCTTAGTGGATCTATGAGTAAAATGAAATATTCTTATCTTATTATGAATCTGTTTTGACTCCATACCTGCAGATATGTTAGAGCTTGTATATTAGGCTTGTAACAACCTGCTTTATCTCAGAATTGAATATAGTGATGGATTTTTCATAATATATATCTCCTTTCCTGATAATAAACATTATGACTATGATATACCTTCTTCACAAATGTAACAACACACTTAAGAGTAAATTATAATTTACCAGTGCAATACTTCCATATTATTTGTAGTAATATCTAACCGATGTACTTCCCTCATGGCTCATCTAAAAGTATGTTTATATGAAAAATAAGGTATTTGTCTTACAGGTGTTTTCCATGTTCCACCTGGCAGATGTTGCTTGGTGTCTGGTGCCATTTTCAATTCTACTGTAGTCAATCACTACTCATTTTATGACTGGCCACTGCTAGCTAGGCCTCGTGTTCTTAACCAAGCCTCTTGGTAGGATGCTTCTCCATTCTCAGGTGCTCTAATCAAGGGTAAATGGGGACTGGCTACACTTAGCTGAAGCATTCTACCCACCTAGCCCCCAAAGACTGAATATTTATATCAGACTTCACTGCAGGCTCGAATAACAAAGGGGATTTCAATAAGGTAGAACTGCAAAGATTTAAAACTCTACACTAACAATAATCTAAATACACAAACAACAAGAAATCAAAACTTTCATAATGGGCCCATCTAAGACATATACTCACCTCCTTATTTTCAGGTCTCTTTGCAATACATCTCATCCCTCTATTCTTGTTACCCTCCTTTTAGCACTACCCTTTCCCCATATCTGTGTTATTCATTCCATAACAGATCCTAGAATTTACCATGAGGAATCTCTAGATGTGGCCTTAGGCACTTCAGGTCCTCACAAGTGTTCAACAAGAAAAGGAAGAAGCAGAGACTTGAATATTACAAGTCTGGCAGTTCTAATCATTTTCAAGGCCTGAACTGTGGTGTTTTGAGTGCTCTGGTGGAAAACTGTATCAGAGAAATGAACACACACATACCAAGGATCAACCTGAACATTCAGAAGAAGGGCAGGGTAAACTTGTTACTAAGTGGTGTCAAGTTGATGTTGACTCACAGTAACCTTGTATAGGGTTTCTGAGGAGCAGCTGGTGGGTTTGAACCACCTACCTTGTGGTTGGAAGTCCAGTGCTTACCTGGAAGTGCCACAAAAGGGCTCCAAAGAGGTTGCAAACTGGTTGTTCATTGACTAATTTGACATATTTATTATTTTTTTAAAAATTAAAACAAACTGACAAATCAAGAGAAATTGCATAAAATCTGAGGGAAGTAAAGAGAGCAACATCAATTTTATACCCAGCTAAGTGATCCTTCACATTGGGAGGTTATAGATTCAAACAGACTCTAGAATTCAGAGTCTTAATAGCTTCCTTCCTTGTAGTTAAGAAGATCTACAGCCTCCAACTATGAAGGATCACTTAGCTGGGTATAAAATTGTTGTTGCTCCCTTGCCTTCCTTCAGAATTCTGTAGATTATTTACTAGAATAGAGTGTTGATACAGAGAAGTTTGAGGCCATTATAATTTTCAGACCCTTATTTAAGATTTTTTTTCCTTCTAAATAGCTATATTATTCTTTATCCTTGAAATGTTTGTTCTTAAATAAGATTTATTTCTTGGGAGGTGTTTGCCCTTTACATCTATAGATTCCAGCATTGTTTCAAAAAAAGTTTTTCTGTCTAAAATGAATTGCTTATGTTAATGATAATGATGTTGCTGTTGTTAAGTGTGGTAGAGTCAGTTCCGACTCATAATGACCCTGTATACAGTTTCTGAGGAGTGACTGGTGGGTTTGAATTGACAACCTTGTAATTCAAACTGACCTTGTGGTCCAGTTATTATAGTAACTGGTGTCTACAGTTCAACACCAGGATAATAATAGTACTATGATATTTTAGAAAATTAATTCATGCAATGTACTTAGAAGTTCTAACACATACTAAGCACACATTAATAATAATAGCAGCAATAGTAGCAACTAATATAATTTGGAGTCCTGGTATGTCACTAGGATAAGCACTCAACCGCAAGGTCAGTTTGAATCACAAGGCCAGTGGTTCAAGTCCACCAATCACTCTTTGGAAACCCTATACAGGGTCGCTATAAGTCAGCACCAACATGATGGCACTTAACTACAACAATAACATTATTATTATTATTGTTATTATACAATTGCTATTAGTTTAGCAATGTTGTTGTTGTAGTTAAGTGCCATCGATTCAATTCCAACCCATAGCTACCCTGTATAGGGTTTCCAAGGAACAACTGGTGAGCTTGAACCTCTGACTTTGCAGTTCAAACAACTTTGCAGTCTGATGCAGTCAGAATGCACTGATACTACACGCATTTTTGGTTGCACTATTTTGTCTTCATAGCCATCATCTTATGTGTAATAATTTTATTGTAGATATGAAGAAGATCTGGTAGTGTAGTGGTTACGAATCAGGCTGCGAACCTTAAAGTCAGCAGTTGGAAACTACCAGCTGTTGCGCGGGACAAATATGAGGCTTTCTGCTTCTGTAAAGATTTACAGCCTCCAAAACCCTGTACAGGGTCGCTATGGGTCAGAATTGACTTGACAACACTTAACAACAACATATGAAAAATCAGGTATTTGTCTTATAGGTATTTTCCGACTTCAAGCCGGCAGGTGTTGACTAGTGTCTGGTGCCACTTTTAACTCTTACATTTCATTTGATTTGATTGTCTTGAGACAGTCTGCCATGTTTCAGTCATGTCTATTCTGTTGTTGGCATAATTTGATACTGGTTTTTCTCTTTCCTTTTATATCTTCTTCAGTTCCTCCAGATAACTGCTTTATATTTCCTCTTTTGTCCTGTGTCTTTTTTCAATAATTGAATGGCTTAATCTTCTTTTAAGGAGCTCTAGTAGCGTAATGGTTATGAATCGGGCTGCTAACCTCAGGGTCAGCAGTTCGAAACTACCAGCTGTTCTGTGGGCTAAAGATGAGGCTTTCTGCTCACGTAAAGATTTGCAGCCTCGGAAACCTGATACAGGGTTGCTCTGGGTCGGAACCGACTCCACAGTACATAACAACAACAACAGCAATCCTCTTTTGTTTGAGAGAATAGGTTGCTTGTCTTTGACTTTGTGGAAAACAAGTTTCACAACATTTTCTATGTTCTTTGTGTATGTTTTCTTGTGGTATCCACCCTGCATTTCTCCTTTCCTCCAGTTGGGCAATAAAGGAGGGGCAGTGACACTCAAACTGTAAAAGTCTGTTCATTGGGCTTGCTAACTTGAACATGATTTTTGCCAAACTAGTTGTTGT